CTTGAAAACAACTTTAAGGGATAGCCTATAACAATTGGTGGAGAATCCTGTTCGTAGGCCCATGCGGCCTTTCCATACACTTTTGGATCTCAGTTAACAGACATTTATCATCAATTTTTCACTCATGAGCTTTTTGTTTTACTTATTGATTTGGTTAATGTAAACAGGAATCGGAATCTGCTTTGATAATATTAATGTATTGTAGTGTATTGTAATTAACTATCGTTTTCCTTTATCTAATAATCCTTTCTGTACTTAGTATAATTACCGATTCTCAAATCCAAACTAATTCTTTCTGAACAACAATTTATTTTTAACAGTAACAGAGGGCTTAGTGATTAGTTGTGGAATCCCTGAAAAGTAGTGACCTAAGCAACATTAAACGGTAACTTGAAGTATTTATATTCATCCGGTTTAGTTACTTGTAAGTAGCATGAATTATTCAGATATATTTTGTGAGTAAAATGTCATCTAATTTTTTGTTTCTTTCTTTCCATTCACTTAGCTAAAAGTGGTTTAGAAGTGAGTTATTTTGAAGTAGAATCTGCAGTGATAGTCACCGTTTTACCAAATAACATAGTTCATGAGATCAAAGCCGCAAAACAACTTCGTTCATTTGAGCTTCTTACTTTAAGCTCTGAACTTGTTTTTGCTGAAATAATTTTTATAAATCATCCAAAGGTTTATCAAGAACTTCTGTTTTATTGTCAATTATTGCTATGAACTTGGGGAGTTATTCAGGATTGAAATATGCAAGAAATATAGATCTTAAGAATAGAATCTACCTGTTGTTCAAATATATATCAATTGATCAGGACTAGCCAATAGACAAATCCACTTAAATCTTTGATTATTACGTTATCCAAAATCTTTCATTCCATTTATACAAGGCTGTACTGTCACAGGAATCAGAAGGTATGGTGAAGAACTATAATTTTTAGCTTATATTTGAGTACGGTCAGATCAACATGCAACAATATTCAAAATGAAGTATCGCCTTATGTACATCTGATTATTTTTGAGCTATTTGTTCCCCCCTCATTTATACTCTGGTTTATTGAATTTTATTCCATTTTTTTCTAGATTGTTATTCTTCTCCATCCGATCGATGGACATGAGGTTTACAACTATTTTAACAATATGAGTCGTTTCTTTAGGTCAAGAGACACCACCACTCAGTTAATGATTCAATGAAATAAATTAGTTTTATCATATGTCTATAGATCAAATGGGTTATTCGTATAAGTCGGATGTTTCACAATTTAAGATTAATTGATGTATGTTCAGTTATACTAAATAACTGAATTAATTCACTGAATTAATTGGATCAACACATGTGTATGTATAAATATCTTCCATTGGCTTATTTGGGTATAAAATAATGTAAATAATAGTTTAAAAATCCAGAAAAATAACTGAATAAGTTCCAGGTTATAAAGTAGATTGTATTAAAATAATACATTACATCTGGTAGATATATATATGATTTGGATGCGAGTTATTTCCTGAAGTTAACACACACATTAAATATTGTTCAGTGTAATTAATGCTATTTTAAACAAAGATGGACGGTGGCTAGCAACGGAACCCAGAACGCGCGTCCTGTCCTACTTGGGACTCGTCAGCCGGATGTACCTGCATCGCCGAGTTGATGCCCACCCCGGGACTCGAACCCGGCACCGTCCGCTTCAAGCGCCATCGCGTTATCCACTTAGCTACTGAGTCATGATACCCGTCCGCTTGTGCAGTGGGGTGAAGTTCAAATTCCATGAGTGTTGTTTTACTTGTATCTTCCCAGAGTGAACATCAACTCTGCGGTGCATGTACATCCAGCTGATGAGTCTCAAATAGGACGAGATGCGCGTCCTGGATTCCACTGCTAACCACTATCCATCTTTGCTTAAAAAGCTTGTGACTTAAGGCTATATTGAGGCGATCCGCACAGGATGCACATATGTCAACATGAGACTGATCAATTACAGTCCTAAATAACAATGGGAAGATACAAGTAAAACAGCACCAAGTGAATTTGATGCTATTTTAGTTTATTTACTCTGATAAAAATCAAGCAGTTAGTTAATAATCACTGAAACGATACCTTATTTACTAGATACTGAATATCAAGTAATGAAATTATCAACATTATATTTTCAGTAAACCAAAAGTAATCTTCATAAATTGGGTTCCTCCGATAGGTAAAGATTAAACATATGATTTGAAAGATGAATAAAAATGATAGTTGGGAAGTATAGACAAATACTAGTTTCAAGATTTAGAAGACATGGAATGAAGGAAATTGCTTTAAATTTTAGGAATATCAGCTAAAATTTCCAACGAAAGATTATGATAGTCTCACGGGCTTTGACTAAGATGTTCTCAGCTCTTCATACCACTTAGATCAACGGTCAGTGTCTTAACAGACTGACAATATGTCCTAACCCGCATGTCGTCGACGTTTGGCTAACTGACGTGGTACATCAGAGTAGTTGGTGGCTTGTAATACTTAACGTGTACCCCAACAGCCTTGTTTAGTATTACCTCTATGACATAAGGCTGATGATTTCCCCTTTTTAGTTACTCAAGTTAACGGGGATTCATCAAACCGGTGTACTAAATCAAGATGTACGTCTGACGTCTGATTATAATTGTTAAGCTTTAAATACGTCTATTTAATGGTATTTATCGGTGACCAGGTGAGATATCTCAATGTTCAATAAGTTTGGACTAACCTAAAGCTGTCTGTAATCCTTCGTTAAACAGTAAATAATTGGAAATCTCGATGAGTTAAATAAGATCGCTTCAAAATAATTTTAGTTTTTTCTCAATACCATTTTCTAGTTTTCATAACTTAATGGGTGCTTTTTCATGTAATTGCAAATTTAAGTATTTTTCTGAGTGTTTGGTTTTAACAAATGTTTTAAAGCTTTAACAAAACGAATTTTTAGTTGTGATTACTTTGATTATTCTGAAATACTATAGTAAAATGAAGGCTAAAAGAGTTTTGAAGACACTGAAAAAACTAATTCAACAAAGAACGATCTAATCATTATTAGGCCCGGAAAAGGTTTCCCAAGTAAACAAACTGCTAAATTTCTAATAGAATATAATCTCCTTTCTATGTTTATTTTATCACTCTATATCAAACTGAAGAGATCTGTTGGTATTGATAACCATGAATACTGTGTATACTAACGAACTGTACTACCAAATATACTTTGATGTATCAACGAAGTAGTTATAAGACATCAGGTTAATCAGAACAATTAGAACCAGGAATAAAAGCTAACTAAGACCATCTTCGTCTGATAGGTATGACTTGCCTACTAGCACATGAATAAATATCTTATTTGTACCCAATAAATGTAATCAATGTATGATACTGAGTTATCTGTTTCTAGCCCAGAATCTTATATCGGTCTTGTACTACTAAAAGCTATTTCTTTGTTTATTAACAAACCAGAATTTTGTGGGTGTACTGCTGTCCTGTAATGACATATCAGCATGCCATCAATCATTTATGAATTCACAAGGTGAAAAGCACCAGTCGATTTGATTGTGTCTTGGGAATTCTCTACTAGTGGCTAACTTATGAATAAAATAACAAAGAAAACAATATAGGGGCTAATATGTAAACTAAAGGTGGATTGGTGGTTGTGAGTTATTTACGTTTAGAGGCGTAAATACTTTAAGACTGATAGATGAAAAGTATTTCACATTACATAGACATGGATATACTATAGTTTGCTTCTACCGCGAACCACAAGATTTCCTTACTTCATCTCGTTGAAAATTCCTCTTTTTGTGTGTTAGCAGTTGACTTTTTTTGTAGTTTAGTTTTAAAGTTGCATGTTTTGACACAAAGATATAGGAAAACAGATTACGTAGCAGTTGATCAAATACGATATTAGTACCATTATTTATTGCTGACTTTCGATTCACCCTATTTTTCATTTTGAAGATCTACTTGTTTAAAACTAGACAAATCAGTTAGAATAACTTATTAACATCAACTTCTGAGTTCCTAAATTGTATAACTCCTAAAGCTATTTAAATTCTACGTTCTTCGGGACGCATAATTAATGAGTAACAATCTTCTAATAATTACGTATTTATTGAAGTCTTTAGTTTAGTCTTTGACGCTTGAACTCGTTGCTTCATAGGCACCTTTACAACAGGGTACGACAGCTCTGCTTTAACAACTGGTTACAAGTTTCTTTACTAATGTTATGTTAATATGTTAATATACTAACAAGCATAAATTATAGTTGTTGAATAATAAGTTTTCTGATATAACCTAAACTTTCATTCATCTACAAACAAATTCGATCGTAGACAGGAACTATATTGGAGATTCTCTTAATGAGTGAAACCTAAATGATCCAAGTAGTATTAAATTAAGCTTTGAAATTTAGTTCAGCAAATGATCTATTTCTCTACTATTATGTCGTTCACATATCTACATCAGTATTCACTTTCCAAACAACCTTGATGTATCGTAAAACTTTGAAAACTCGCGTGACTGACTCGAGAAGTTAAAAACCAATGCTCTAGTTAAAGAATATGTTGCTGAGGTATCCAAATATATTAGGATATAGTTATTTGGTTTCTAGTTTAAGTAAATCTTACTTCATACTAGTCACTTAGCCACATATTAAAAATCTAACACCATCAAGTCTATATTACTTCATGATACGCGAGAGATAAAATAACAGACAGATAGATATATAGATACCTTTGCAGCCAACACCTAAATAACTTTCTTAGTATTTTTACTGATCATTAAAGTTACAGTGTTAGTGATAGTGACAATCAGTAACACATTTGAGGCAACCATACAAACCATCTTGTTGTCATCCAAATATAAAACCATAGCTACTTTATCTAAAGTTACTGGGAAAGCTAATTATGGTAACAGATTATTTTGACAGTATCAAAGACAATAAGGACGCTATTTGTATTCAAATATATAAAATCAAAACTTGGTAACAAGTAAATAATTAGTAATATTGAACTAAAGCTTAATTTCTCAAATATTCGACAGGGATTTTTTTATAATTTAAATCTCTAATTAGAGAATAAACTCCACAGTCATCATTCGTTAATTGTGCTAGTTTCTGAACTGTCACCGTAATGTTATACTACGAATAATCTTTCTAGATATATAAAATATGGAAAGTAATGAATGAATATCAAAGTTTCTTTTATGACTGCAGAATTTCAGTTCATGAATAGACTGAATCGACATCATTTTCTACTTAAGCAAGTTAATCAAAGTTTACACGTAGATAAATTAATATAACGCATAAAATTATTTGGATAATTAGGTAAATGTAAACTGAAGACTAAATGTCTACGTCTGTTCATGCATGACCTGTTAACTGAAACGCGTGCATTCTGGATTGCAAGAAATCTTAGAAGAGATGTCGGGATATCTAAATCTTTCGTTGGAACGTTAACGTTCATATTTCATTTGGTCTCTGTTGAGGCCTGAAATTACAATGTCATTCACCTTGAAATATTTTTTACCAACAATCTATTTTGAAATGCTCTTACACTAATTGCTATTTTACATGTATATAATTAATAAGCCTAGTGGTTAACAAGAATTGTTTATGTAAAATGCTATGGAAGTTTCATGTCCTAAACTTGTCTCTAATGAAACCTACACCGTATGGGTCCGTTTTCATTGTAAAGTTGAGCTTAAATTACTACATGAACACTCAATTTTTTATGAAACATACTTCTAGAATACTTGCTGTCAATCTTATTGCATTAAAACCATTACTATTAATTATTAGTTGTAACCATAACAGGACAATAGCTACCAGACGTCTGGTTAACTGAGGTGAATTCTGATTATACTATTTCCCATCTTTCACTAACACAAACACACCCAAATAAAAGACAATTCATCTGAAGTATTTCCAATGCACTAGAGTATTAAAACTAGTTTATCGAAATGGCAAAAACTCACGGATTAATAATGAAAGTCATTCTGAACAAACTGAAAATATCCGTTACAGTGAACCTTCATATGCCTAGGTGTTTCACCATATTTATTTGCTTCTGAACACTTTGTTTTATTTTTCTTTCTTCATCAGGATTTAACTGTTGTGGTATTATATGACTTATTCCTTTAGAGTTGATCAAAGAAGGAAAACTCAGAAAAGCGTCTTCTTGAATCCCATTCACATCTTTGACATATACTGAGACGGGATAAATAGTATGAAGATTGTGTATTATAGCATCACATATGGCACGGCAAGCAAGTCCAATCGACCATGAATTACAGCCTTTTAATCGATTAAGTTCTTCCGTACTTTTGATTGCCGATTCATAAATCAATTTGTAATTTTCAGGATCACTTGAACACCCAATATGTGGATTTTTTGTAACTAAACGTGCACCAGCAATATTCACGGTACTCCATAAAGGTATACTATTTTCACCAAGTTCTCCAATTATATAACCATGAACTGATGAAGCATCCACACTAAATTTCTGAGCAAGAAGATAACAGAATCTTGCTGAGTCCAAAATTGTCCCAGTACCAAATACTCGATGTTTCGGGAAACCACTAAGTTTGGCGGCTACATGTGTCATTATATCAACTGGATTTGTGACAATCAACAAAACACATTGAGGGCTATGATAAGTAATCTTAGGGATTACTTCCTGATAAAGTTTAACATTTTTTACTAATTGTTGTTGAGGATTTTCGTTTTTATCAGTCGCACATGCTGTAACTACGATGATGTCTGAATTTGTCGTCAATTTAAAGTCTGAACCACCAGTAATTTTACAATATCCAGAGAAAAGCTGACCTTGCATCAAATCCATGACTTCACCCTTTACCTTAAATTCATTGACATCGATTAGAGCAATTTCAGCAGCTATATCCAGCAGAGAAAATGTAACCGACGTTCCAACAGCTCCACAACCAACAACTGATATTTTGCTGAGATTCTTATATTCAACCTCATTAGGAGCAACAGGCCGAAATAATGAGGTCATGGTGAGACCAGGAATAAGAGCAGACTGGAAGAAGTTTTGAAAGTGTATTCGCTATACACACGTACACCTTGTGATCTATTTTTGACATGAAAAGAATCAACTGGTTAAATTATGTCTCGATTTAGGTTAGAATATCGGAATTGGCCAATAAGTGATTATGATTGATTTTCAGCATCTAAGTCGTTTATCAAAATCTGAACACATATAGCATATCAGATACATATGTCTTATTTCTTTTCTCGTATTACTGACAAAACTAGCTAAAAGACAGACAGACAAAACATGGTAAATCAAATAAGTCTAGGATAATGTAACAAAACGTGTACTTTATTCGCTAAAATTAAAGATATTTTTCCATAACGAAATGCAATTGGCGCAACGATATGACCAAAGTGCAAACTCTGATAATTAGAAATAGCAAATTGAATGTCATTTTGAATCTGCATTATGAGTAACAGTGGTATTATAAAAATGATCCAGTAAACACATTGTTTCTCCACTATTACAACATTTTCGAAACTAGGTTTAAATGTAAAACTCCTTCGAAACATGTAGATAGTAAATAGTCTTAGATATCCTATATATATATATATATATATATATATATATATATATATATATATATATATATATATATATATATATATATATATATATATATATATGTGAATCACGTCAGTACATCAGTAAACGATTAAGGAAATGGAAAAATGATGTAAAAAGTCACAATTTAGTTGAATTAGAAAGTTAGTGCTTCAGTACAGTAACTTTCATCTGTAGACTCGTAGTTATTGGTAACGATTTGACTCATAATGAAGACAAACGATGAACAAATTACGGAATTAACTGCTATGAGAAAGAACATACACAACAATCATTGTCACAATTCTCAGGGCATTGTATCAAGTTTAAACTTCGTAATACTCTGTGAATTTAAGAATAAAAATTTGTTGGCTGGATGAAAACTGATCGTTCTCGAATTAGCGATCACTGTTATGTTATCCATTTACTATACCAGTCTACTTGTGACAATAAAATTGTTGTATTATTTGTACTTAACTGATGTTTTACACTTGAAATATATATTTAGTCTAATGTGCATTTAACTTTCACAACTTTGATGTATTTCGCGCTCAACAACTTCTTAGTTGATTTACATTTCTCAGTTTATTGTCTGTGTTAAAAAATAGAATTTCTCTATATGTGTTTCGGTCCTCTTATTTATGACTTTATAAAAACAGTTGATAAGAAGTATCAGGATATATTGATACTGTAAGTTGTTTCAGATCAGTATGCAACATAAGACATGGTGCACTGCCCAGAGACTTCAGTGTGGGGCAAGCGGTAATAGCAAGAGATTGCTATGAAGTAAAGCCAACCTGGAAGATCGGAACTATAATCGATAGCAAAGGTAAAGTTATTTATGAAGTAAATGTCGGAAAAGATATGGGTGCCACATACAAAACAACTACGGCCAACCAGACAAGAGTTGAAGACTGGAAGTGATTTAAAGCCGGCTATACCTGAGCTACAAATCTTCTCCACCATCTCAAGACTTAATGACTATTATTAAGTTATTTCCAATTTATTAGTTACAGTCTCCCACATATGCAGCCACTTTTCGGCTTGATCTTGCATAATAGTTATTTTTTTATTTTGTGACGTTTTCGGGCTGGTTTACATGTATTTAAACTACGTATGTCTGAAATACATTTTTCATACAGTGGAGGCTAAGATTGCTCACTTAAGTCAACGGGTACGGCTAGGCTAGAAAGATCCGTAAGGATTCAGAGTTGAAACATGGCTGCTAGTGCTGTTTTGATGTGTCATTAGTTTAGCGCAAGAATAAGGTCATACTGTAGTGTGGGTTACTTATATCCACACAAGTAGTATATAACGGTGGTCAGGCATAGAATGTATTTCAGTAGAAGGTCGATGAGGAAAGAGCGGGAACTAAACGCAATTGGTATGAAAACGCATGAACAATGAAATCTGAGACAATGGATTGATGTTTGCGACAGGAACAGTCGAATTAACGATTTAATATATGGTTCTCAGATTTTATTGAGATGTTCTGTAATTATTTGCTCAAATACATTCGATTGTCCCTATTGGTGTTCTTGTTCACACAAGTCAGTATTCGGATTGACGATTTTGTCACGTGATAGCTAACAGGGCAAACGTCATAACAGTAAATATTGATCGAAAAGAGATAAAAAGAAGGAAAATTATATTTTCTTGTAATTTGAAGAAACTTCAAATTACATACAAATCATGAGATGATATTTTGTAACTCAATAATAAACTGGGAAAAGAATCTTTGTAAGATCAAAATAATATTTTCATTTATTTAATCATACTACTTAGTCATGACAAGCAGCAACGTCTATCAAGCTAATATTTCGTAATCGTCATTTAGTCTACAATTTGAAAAGCGGTTCTCATAAACATTTTGAGGACCATGAGCAAAGAAACATTTCCATTTGTTACATTGTACTTAAGAGTTTATGTACTATTTAATTCTAGAAAGAAATCAATCTTATCTTGTGTGAAAGAGGTGCGGACTATGGGATGTTGAACTCCCAAAAAGCCCATTTTAAAAAACAATTTTTATCCATTTGTTAACATACCTCATTAAAAAATTGAATATCTCCACGATGAAACAATTCTTCATTTCCCCCTAATTACATGACTTAGTATTATTTTAATAAAATATTCAGAAAATACTTTCATTCAATAAATGTAAATCAATAATTTATTATCAGTAAATATATAACAAACCCCGTTTGTTATTTATTGTAAAACTAAGATCCTTAATTATGAGTGTGAGTTTATAAGCGCCATTATAAAGTCCCAGAAGGATAGACATTAACATTGGTTGATCTGAAATAAATATGTTTCAAGGTTGTCATCGATAACACATTTCGTTGTGACTTTAGTATAGATAATTATTTTTGTTAACGCATATACAAAATAGGTTCTCTTTGGATCATTTTCTGTTCAACTTGTAAACCTATAATAATACCTCATCAGTATTTCCAGATATTCATTTTCCCTTTATTTAAAATATCTTATGTCTGGATGACTGTAGGTATACAATATTATAAGTTGGGTGCACATTGGTTTGGTCGTTATATCTCCCTCATCAACTGATGGAACAAACTGGTTTATGAAAACCAAAAAAATTAAAGTTTAATGATCAATTTACTCCGGGATCATGTCACACCATTTCTACTCATTGTTGGTCAAACTTCAATATGTTGGGTCACTTATCCTGGTAGTAAACCTTGACATTTTTGTTAGTAGACTTTGGTAATATATATTAATGTTAGAGCACGAAGCTTATAATTATATTTAGCCGGGTTCTACTCGAGATGGACATATGTTTTTCATTTGAAATCTAATACTCACAAGCTATTATGTCAGATGAAATTTTGTTCTCTGAGTTGGATGATTTGGTCGTGAAGCTTTCACTGTTCATCTGAACAACATCATCAGCACAATCTTCAGGTAGAAGTGAAGTGTCCGAATTTCGCCACATACGACTCACAACTTGCACAGTCAACCTCGATCTTGACTGACATTTAAAGATTAACCAAGCTCCACTACCAAACCATCCAGCTTAGAGAACATAACTCCTCCTGAGCTACAAATCTTCTCCACCATCTAAGCTATTTTACCATTATGTTATGATTCCTGAAAATATATCTGACAAATATAACCTCTTGACAGTAGTAATAGTAGCAGTAACAATAGTAATAAAAATAATAATAGTAGTAGTGCAAAGAACAAAGACTTGGATATTGAATTCTATAATGATGCGAATCTAGTAGGTAATAAAAGTATACTGATTATACGGTAAGAAATGCAACCATATTTAGTGATATCAATTTCATTTTGGATTGCATTATGATAACTAAATGAAAATCTGAGTAATAAATCTGATTACTGTGTAGATCAATAAAATATTTGTTTCTTAATATGAAGACATTGAGGAGTTCATCTCATTTTGGAAATAGTTCTTGTTAGATTTTAACTTGGTTGTCGAAAGATAACGAAAACAAAAAGGTTTACTGTCTAAACTCTGGTGTGGTTATGAGTTCGTACTACCAAGCAGCTTGAACTGGGACGAAATAGCTGTTCAGCTTTTTAAGCTAACTGATGTTTCCCTGCTTAATTTCTGTTTGTGAAAATAAATTTTCATGTCTTAAAACCATATTCACCTAGTTTTGTAAACTATTATCCACTCAATAATGGAATCGTTTGACTAAGTTGAAAGTTTTATCTAAGAATGATCTAAGGCAGGGATTAAAATGGAAAATTTTACACTCATAAATACGTATCTTCTAAACAGAGTGGTACTATCTTACCAGTTGTTTTTAAATGTATTAAGGTAAGGGTATCAAAATAGGTTAAACAAACTGTATTTCAACTAATTAATAACATGTTCAATATCTACTTAATTCAGCCAGTATCTTTCCCAGTTTCTGTTAATTAATACTCGTAACAGTTACTGACTTTAATGACTGCTTTCCAGTGATTGTATATATAAATAATGCCAAATCAAATTTACTTACTACACATTTAAGGGTCAATTTTCTGCAAGTTAATTTCAATCCTTTCAACAAAAGAGAGTATGTCAACTCCACTCTGTCCTTGGGGCGATCAGTCCAACAATTACGTATCGACTCATGTTGTTATTCATATTTCTACATATAATTTTTTTCTGTCATAACAGTGAAGTCAACAGTACACACCTTTTTAAACCTTATTTGACTACAAATTGAAAGAAAAACTTAATGGCAGGCTCTTTTTTGGTAATAACAATAAAATTTGAATAGCTACCTGTAAAATACTTCCTTCACTATTCTTCAAAGCTGCTAGGTGTCTGTCTTGAAAACAAATGAAAGTTTCATCACCCATGTCAAGTTTAATTTCCTTATCTATTTAGTGTTCGCCAAGTTAACCATAATACGATTATATTGAAAAGTCAGCAAATATATGGGTTCAAAACTCAAAAATGGCTTACTCAGAAACAATTGAAGCAAAACGGATGAAATAGTTTGGCAAATAGATCACATTACACTATTCTGTTCACTAGACTCTACAACAGCTAACCTTTACATACTTTTAATTGAGGCAGATTTGCAAGAATTCGTTGAACAAATTTTTAAAAAAAGCATCACATTTCACCCAAACCATAAAATTATTCTGAAAAGT